CCCTAAAAACAAGTTTGACAGTGTAAGGTACTATGGTAAACAGATTTATAACAGCATATATGTCAACTTGTACGGATTGTCCATTAGTTATAAGGATTTTACGTCATTTTGCAGGTATACGGATGTATAGAACAATCTCACGGATTTTTTCAAGTCTTACAGATTTTTTAAAAACCTCATTTTCAAATTTATCTAACATGTCAGAGCCTGTAGGATGATTTAAAAAACAAATAACAAACTGCCATCTTCCAACCTGTTCTGCCGTCAGAGTGTCGGAGCAGGACGAGTCAGTGTAACGTCAATCAAATGAGAGAGTGGGTGGGGGCATTTGCTGCATTGGGGTGGGGGGAGAAAATGTTTTATGGGTAGAGTAGGTTTTTTCCTGTAATACTTCATTATAGTTTTTTTTAAGACAAATCTAATTGAAAGGGGCGCTCAGCAGAGTTACAACCAGGGATTACAAATAACTTTTTTTTCTTTGGCAGTCCGGCACCCCCTCCAGCAGATGGCRCTCTAGGCAACCTCCTAGTTCGCCTATGCCAAGAGCCAACTCTGATTTTTAGCTTTAAAATGTAACAAAATAGAAGTAAAAGTAGCTATTTRAAAAAGTAATTGGGAAAGTCACAAATTCTTAAACTACTTAAGTACTGTAACAAAGTAAAAGTACCTAGTTACTATAAACCTCTGGTTGAAACACAACAGGAGAAAATGACAAAAGAAATATAAGCTGAAGCAGCCTGAGAATTTGAGCATTTGTASAGCAAAGTCATAGAGTCAATAAATGAGGCAGGTTGGCATGTATCATTTTAGCCAAAACAATCAATACTGATTGTTGAKCATCATCACATCATTTCTAATGTCTTGTCTGGTGGATAGTATCACACCAGGTATGATTATGAYAGTGATCATATGAACGTTTGGTGAAAACAAATTGTAGAAAGGCAACAGCAGAAATTACAGCTATGTTTAATAGATAAAGTAACATTTCTCCACACAGTGTGAAGAAAACTCAAGGGATTTGGATTAAACAGCTGCGTAGYTGTAAGAAAACCACTTACCGGTGAGGCTAATAAGAAAAAACAGCTTCAGTGTGTTAAGAAGCATAAATGGATTCTGGATCAATGGAAGAAGGCCATGTGGTCTGTTGAGTCCACACTGAGTGATGGGAGCTTCAGGGTAAGAAGAGAGGTAACTGAAGTGATCCCCCATCATGCCTAATGCCTACTGCACAGGTCTGTGGGGCWGGCAGTCTGGTCGAGGTTCAGCAACGTTGGATGTGTCCAAATTCAGGGGCTGCATCCTCCGAGGGCTGATTATGTCACAGCGAAGGCTATGCAAATTCAAAAGTTCCTCCAAGTGTGTCCTTTTTTCCCCCTGATTTGAGGAATGGGTCTGGTCTATCCTTCTCGGCCCAGCCTATCCCAAGATGAATTGCAGGTCAACCAGGAGATTTTATTGCTTTTAATGGGGAATGAAGCAGGAGACAGAAGTACAGTTTTACATAAAAAAAATCTGGTAGTACAAAACCTAAAAGTTTAAAGCAGTTGTGTTGTTAGGCTTTTGCATAGACACGTTTTTTAAAGGGGCAATATTATGTGTTTCTCAGGCATATATTTAAATACTATGCCATAATAAAGTATCTATGT